GGGCGGCAACAACGACGTAGTTGGGTGTGTGCCGCCAGGGCTGCTTAAAGAGGGTGCAATCGAACATGATCTCCTTCTTTCTATCTGTCTTTCTGCCGAGGTATCGCAGCTCCCGCTGACTTAAATGCTATTTCCTATTTCCTATTCCGTGGAAGCCAAAGTATAAAGGATAGAGAAGGTCATAAGCCAACAAAACTGAACATTGTGCTCAATACAATTAGGAGTAGGAATAAATATTAATATTTAAGGTTAGTGCACTCAGCACAAAAAACAATAAGCCAGCAGGAGCTGTAAAGGTTAGAGTTACAATAAGGAATGGCAGCTGGTAAATTATAGAGTTGCGGGCGGCAAAACAACGACGTAGTCGGGTGTTGTCGCCAGGGCTAGCTTAATAAAAGAAGGTTGCAATGAGGGAATGAATGATACCGGGCGGCAACACACGACGTAGTCGGGTGTTGTCGCCAGGGCTAGCTTGAAAGAAGAGTGCAATCTCGAACATGATCCTCCTTCTTCTATCTGTCTTTCTGCCGAGGTATCGCAGCTCCCGCTGACTTATTTTTATGGCTCATGTGGCGATTTGGTACCGGTACCTCTTAGTGGGCTTTTCCAAGAGGCTGCGTTCTTAAAACCAGGTGCCAGCTGTGCCACTTGGTGGTTTGACCAATCGAACCAGAATCGGATCAGAACGATTATTTGAAGGGAGTCGCTGACGTACTGACGTACTAGCTAGTATGGTACGTCATGTGCACCTGACTTCTGCCAAGCCAAAACTAACAGAATTCTCATTCATGCGTGTGGTCCCATGTGCCCGGGGCACCAACATCATCATCGAGCATCCACAAAAGAACATAGAGAAAGAAACTAACTAAATTGAATCCAAAAGCTACAATGGAAAGCCATGACCAACAACAAGCACTGGAGGAAGGAGTCACTGAGGATGTGAGCGCAAGACCCATGCATGCACCAAATAATGAAGCAACAACCACAGAATCCCATGTTGTGTCCACACTAGCTACGCCTACAGATGCTGCATCTCAAGAAGAAGAAACGAAAGACACATTCGAAAAAGACTGCTTTCTTCCGATATCCACACCTGGACCAGAGCGATTCACAAATTGGTTGGCACAGGGCGACGACACTTGGGGAGTCGACGCCTCAGGTGACAGGGATGATGATAACAACAATAATAATACCATTGTGGACTCATTTATGGGGGTGGATCAGAAATTGCGGGGACAAGTGAGGCGACTGCGCCGTCATCATCAGACTGTTCTTGAAGGCAACAACACTACATGTAATACCAATAAGTATGCCTCTCGGAGTTACAAGAGCCACGAGTCTCCCGTGTGGCATCACTTTACACAGAAAACGCGGGCCAAACCGAGTCGGTTGCGACGATTTTTGGCGTGTGGCAAGGGCGCCTACATCTCGGCAGTGCGGGATGCGAGGCTCATGATGAGAGTCATGATTGCTGCCATTGGCATTCTCATGTCGGTGGTGGGCTTTGGTATCCTTCGATCCTCCGAGAAGTTACTGGAATGGAAACTCGACAAATCCACCGAATTGCTGGAGGAGGAAAACAATAACAAATATTCATCCTTTGGGTTCTTTATTGGCATGAATATCTTGTTTGGCTTCCTGGCAGCGCTACCGGTCTTGTTTCGACCTTTGAGTGCTGGCAGTGGCATTGCCGAAGCCAAGGCAGTTTTGAATGGCATTATCTTACCTGGATGCACGGACTTGACCACGGCGGCGTGCAAAGGTTTCAGTGTCATCTTTGCACAAGCGGCATCCCTGCCGATTGGAATGGAAGGACCATTGATTTTTATTGGGCTCGCACTTGGAGACAATGCCGACAAATACCTGCCCATCCAAAGCAACCGTTTTGCACCAGCCTCCGAAGTTTGCAAGGTGGAACGATATCGAAAGGACTTGCAGGCGATTGGAACGGCATGCGGTGTCACCAGTGCCTTTGGAACTCCCATTGGTGCCGTCCTGTTTGCACTGGAAGAGGCATGTTCCTATTGGAGCCTCGATCTGACATGGCACACATTCACTGCCGCCTGTGTGACAGCCACGTTTTCCTACATGTGGAACATAATTGCCAACCAAGCCATTGGAGATTTCATGGCGGACTATGTGACTTCCAAGTTCCAAGGTCTTCCCATGGAGAATGGAATGTCCTCGGCTTCCAGCATTTGGATCAGTTTTCGTTTGCTCGATTACTTTATCTTTGCGGGCATGGGAATTGCCGGTGGAGCTGTGGGTGCAGTGTGGTGTGAACTGAATCGAGCCCTGGCCATTCAACGTACCAAGTGGAAACTTGGCAGAGTTGCCAAGTGCATCGAGGTTCTCTCCCTGGTGGCCATTGCATCTTGTATCTTTTGGTGGTTGCCACAAATTTACAAAGTTTGCAGCCCTTTCGAAAGTGAGAATGGCAACAATACGCACCAATCGAACATTGCTGCCAAACCAGAGTATTACCATCAAGCCCTGTGTCCAGATGGCCAATACAATGAGCTGGCCACACTGTTTTGGAACCCAGTCGGAGGAACCGGGATTAACCTGCTGTTCTGGGAGCCATCGACTGCCTTTTCGGCATCCTCGTGCGTCATTGCTGGGTCTGTGTTCCTCGTCCTTTTGCTGCTCTTTTTTGGCAGCTCCATTGGGATGGGCATTTTTATCCCTCTCTTGTTCGTTGGTGGCTGCTATGGACGTGCTTTTGCCCTGGCAATCGATGGGGCCCCGGTGAACAGTGAGTACCCACTATATATGTATAGATACTTGTATGGTCGTTTGTATGCCGCGGTTTGCCTCTGATCCCAATCTCACAATACCGATACAACTTCTAAAGCCTGCACAATTGTGGGGTCTGTCGCCATGCTGGCAGGAGTCGCGCGGGTGTTCATTTCCTTGAGTGTAATCATGCTCACAGCCACGGGTCAGCCTCATTTGGTCACTCCCTTTATGACGGCCACCATCTTTGCTCGTTTGACAGGCAAAGTTGTGTTTGACCGGGCCGGCATCTATGATATCATCCTCGAGTTAAGGAGAATTCCCTTCCTGGAAGAATTGCCATTCAAACGGATTCTCTATAGAGGTCTCAAAGCTCGGGACATCATGTCTCCTCTGTCGGTAACGCTGGAACCGGAACCAAACGTAGGCAGCTTGATCGAGTCACTGAAGCAGTGCGTATCCTTGGACATTCCGGTGGTTGATCCAAACCGAGGTGGTGTCCTGCTTGGGACCATTTCTCTTCCCACCGTACTACGCGTTCTGAGCGAAAAGGATCTTTTCTATGAACGAGGCAACAATCTTCACAGGGCTCTGAGCTTTGAGAATCTAGAAGAGCGAGCGGGCGACCAACTCACCCTCGAGCTGGTTGAAAAACAACTTACGAATGAGGACCGAGATTTGGTTGTGGATCTATCGCCGTACATAAGCTATGCATGCAGCACGTTGCACCTCCTTGCCAGTGCTGAGAGGGTCTACACGATCTTTCGAACTCTGGGGCTTAGAACAATGGTGATCACTAATCTATCGGGCAAGCCTGTGGGTACGGTCTCTCGATACGAACTCTATGCCCTCGAGGAATTGGGCCCGGACGAAGAGGAAGGAATGACAACAACAGAACCCATGGAGGGAGCTACCAGGTGATCGAGGAGCTCAATAACCAATAATTGACAACTGACTCGTAGTATCAGCATGAGCAGCGGCAACGTACAGAGAGCTACTACAAACACAAAATGTTCGCACAACGAGACATTATGATGGTCCATGTCGGCGAGGCGAGTGGGATTTCACGGCGACAAGATGTCGCCGCCGACTGTGTCATGATGAAGTGTAAGGGAGCGGAAAAGTCCCGGCAATCATTTTTCGTTGCAGACGCGAAACGTGATGACCCTGTGGAAGGTCCCAAATGACACCTGAATCGCACAATCCACCAGTTTTCTCTTTACACTCCGCAATCCCGTTCGATCGCATTGTCAGTGCCTTTCGACACATTACAGCCGAGGCCAGCAGGATGTGTGTTGCTGGAAGCGGGTTTGCTGGACAATAAGAACAATAAACACCCAGATGGATACAAACTCTTTCGACAATGCTTTCCCAAAGCCAACGTGCTCGAGGACATGGCACATGCCGTCATGAATCCCTGGACTCCGTTTCCGAACTTTTACCAAAACCCTCTCATTATTGACGACCTGAATAATATCACTCAGCAGCGACACGAATGCCAGGCGGTCGCCGAGGCACACATGCAACAACAAGGCATCCCCACGGGTTGTCTCCCACATTCACTACAACTACCAATACTACGCTGCTCGCACTCTTGACAAGTATCCCGACAAGGCAGTTTTGGCGGCGCGAACCAAACACGAACTAGCTATGGAGGACATGATGGCATTGGATCAACAATTACTCGGAGGAACTGGCAACTTTTGTTACACGAAACCATTTCGTCATGGCAGTCACAACTATCATCCATCGCTTTTGTCCACGGAAGGTTATCACAAACTTTGCTGTGAACTGGAAGATTGGGTGGAAATCTATCTCGATATCTTGAGGCAAGCGGTGAATCTCAATGCCTCGGCCAAGCAAGAGACGCAAGACAGCTTGAGAACCAAGTGTGGACTTACCACCACAGTAACGTGGGTCGAGTGGAGAATGCAGTGTCTGCGAAGAATCGATCTGTTGGAACCGAATCCAAAGTAGCATATTGTACGTTGATGAAAGTCAGAAATAGAATAGAATAGATTTGTGCATGGGGCTCGATCCTTTTGCATGCAGAGGAGAAGTGTTGGATTGGATCGAATGCAATCTTCTGCTTTTATGCAACGGTCAGGCTATAGCCTATCTTAGTTTTGAATGCTATGATAAGTTTAATGTAGATTATAGACCAGCTCGGAAGCTTCATGCCTCATTCTTCGTCGGTTGCGGCTGTTTCTGTCGTAGCTTTGAGGTTTTTGATCTTCTTCTCCGCTGCAGCCACAGCGTCACTACTCAAATGCATGTAGGAACACTCTCCCACTGACTTTTCTAGCCAATAGATGGCTTCTTCTTTGTCCACCACCATACCAAACTTGCCCTCCGCCAATGCCAATCCCAAATGATAGGCTCCACTGTCGGAACCTTGACCAGCTGCAAGAGTAATGTACATCATGCCCTTTTTCAAGCACTTTGGCACAACCTGACCTTCCAAATAGTGCAACCCGATCGATGCTGTGCCACAGACATTCCCAGCTTGATGAGCTTTTTGGAACCACTGCAAGGCTGCCTCGTGATCTTTCTTGCAACCACGGCCTTGTCCATAGCATACGCCAATATCATACATGGCAACTGGATCTCCTGCTTCTGCCTGCTTGAGTAACTCCGCCAGTTCTTTCTTTTGTTGGAGCTTTTCATTCCATTTGGCGGCCAAGTCCCCACCAATGACACCGGATTCTACCAAGACGTCAATAGTGTTGCGGTGCTGAACGGCCGACAAGAGTTTTTGTCCCATTTTTTCGTTGGTCATGGGTGATTTGAGATATTCTCCAGCGTGTGTTTGAAAGTGTTCCTCAATGGAAGATCTATCATAAATGCGCCCATCCTCTGCCACAACCGGATCCCATGGCAATTCCAAACTGATGGGGCACACCAAATCGTCCGTGATGGATTTGGTCTGGCTGGGTGTTAGTAGTGTAGGTGTAGGCGTCATGATGTCGTAGAGTCGAGTCGAAGGGAATCAAGGATCGTTTGCAAACGTTCGAGTTGTGTTGGAAACTCGATCGGAATTAATTTGTGAGCCTTGTCGGTGTCATTTTCGCGGAGAGAGCTGCAGCGGTGCCAAAACGACCCTCGCACGGAAGCGTTTCCGAGCGTTTTTCGCAAAGATTGGCCGCAACCGGCCCTTGAGGTTCGTTTCTTATAGCAGCTTTCAAACTGCTTGACTAGCTAGCCAGCTATGCAACGATTACGATAAACTGCTATCGGCACTCATCATGGACAGCATTGTTCCGACCTGCGACTGCCGCTCGTCGTCGTCGTCGTCGTCGTTTCGATGTGTGGCAAAGCCAAAGCAAAGCTAAAGCTGCTCACAAAAAGGTTAGGGATAAGGATGACCATTTGCGCCAAAATTTGCTTTGGGAGGGCGCGCACTGCCAGACGAGAGTGAGCATTCAAACAGCCCACACAATTGTTCAAGACACTCCCGCTCGTCACTCGCACATCAGCCGTGGAGTGTTCACTTCGTGTCTTTCGTGTCCATCATCTCATCACATCAAAGTGACGGCAACACCACCATGAGCAGCTCGTCGTCGACAAGCAACACCAAGAATGGTGCCTCTGGTACTAGTAGTAGTGGTAGTAGCAAGAACGCTTCGAAAGATCCGGTGAAAGCGCTGTTGAAACTGGCTCGTCAGAACAAGCACATGGCGGAACGGCAGCATTTGCTGTTGACCTTTTTGCAAATGGGCGCCTCTCTGTCGGATGTGAAGGAAGTGTACGAAATGCGCCCTTATGCCTTGAATCGCGATGTCTTGTTTGAAGCCGGCAAGCTGCAGGTGGCTCCGAAAGTGCTCAAGTTTCTGTTGGACCACTTGAGCAAAAGTCTGGGATACGAGTACTATCTCTACAACAACCCCCGTCGATCCTTTACTCTCAAACAAGACCCTCATCTCCTCACCGATGGCAATGTCACACTGGGACTACAGCAAGTCGTTCAATCCAAGATTGCCTTTCTCAAGGTGTTTGCTCCCGAAAGTGGAAAGCCATTCTGGACGCTCAAAGAGTTTGTCGAGTTCTTTTCGGGAGAAGTCCTCAAAAGTCCACACATTCAGACACTCTGTTGTACTTTTCCCATCAAGGATGAACTACAATCAGCAGCATCTACCAACAAAAAGGCCGCTTCCAAACCAACCGCCATGGAAGAAGTCTCTGCCTCACAAACTCAGACTGTCACTCTACAACAACCTGCAGAAACGACTACTGTCACCACTCAAGCAAAGCCTCCAAAGCCTCACCCAATGGCTGCCAAAATCAAAGCCAGACTGCAACCCAAAAAGCTAGAGCAGTGCATCCTGGAAGACGTGCGGATCAAGGCCCAGTATGCTCACAAAACCAGCGACAGTCTTTTGCAATTGGTACGCAGTCTGGCAAACCTTCCCAAACTCAAAACATTTGCGCTTCAGATCCAAAAAGACGCCATCAGTCCCAAAGGATTCAAAGAATTCAAACAGTTCCTCCCAGAAGCCGTTGGCAAATTGATTGTCACTTGCAAAACACTCGAGAATTTGATTCTAGATGCTGCCGACTTGAAAAAACCTGCGGAATGGGATCCGCTCTGGAAAGCCTTGGAAAAGAATCCACCCCTCCAGCGTCTTTGGGTGCGAGGATTCCAGCAAAAAATCAGCGAGGCCGCCGTCAAGGCGCTCCCCAAAGCATACAAGCCAGAACACGCCGTCCACACAGTGTCACTGGAATCCGTTCGACGCAATCTACTCGCCGTCTTGGAAAAATACAACACGACGCTGACCGTGGTGCGATTCGTCATTCCAGAGTGTCGTTGCGATTCGGCATTCCAATTGGACGGCGACGATTGCTTTTTGCATCACAAGTATTATTCTCTTCCGTCCTGTACACCCGCCATTACTACTACTGCCAATACCACCAACAACCAACAGCAGCAGCAACCGAATGGAACCCGATACATTCCTCCCCCCAAATGCGTCCCGGAATTGGACCATTTCTTGGCCATGAATGCTCACGGACGAGCGGCCTTGAAGGCGCCCCGCATGACACACAATCAGTGGTTGGCAGCATTGACCAGTGGGAATCCCAGCGACCGAACCACCAAGAACAAATTCCCTGCTGATCCGTCCATTGTCTTTTCCCATCTCCGCAATCGTCCCGAGTACGTGGCCATGCTCTACTCGTTGATTCGTTCTCCTACTAAACAATCTGCCGCTTTTGATATGGAAGAACTGCACTTGGCCGCGCAAGGAGTCTTGGCATTGCCATTGGAGCGTTTTGTGGAGCTTTGTGCACGACGTATTGATGACGTGACGGCAATCTACTCCTTCCTACAGGTCAATCCTACCATGTGGTTGCACTATCTACAGACCGCCAAACAAATTGTCAAGGAACTCAAGACACAAAAGACCAAAAAGCACTTTGCCGGAGTGGTGGAACTCACCAAAGTCACGCGCATTGTGCAGACGGGCACTCGCACCATTACCTCGAACAACAAGACGACGCAAGTGCCCGTGTACAAACCCCAAGCGGTGGTGCTGACGCAACCACGCAAAGTGATTCGTCTCAATGTCGCTCCCAGTGTCGATCATTCCACACTGACCAAGTTCCCCAAACTGGCCATTGGTGGTCGTGGACGGGACGAGTTGGTAGCCAAGCGCAAGAAAAAGGCGGAAGAGGATGTGTCCAAGCCAGCTGCAGTGGCGAATAGCAAGAAAAAGGAGTCGACCGTCCCATCCACTACCACACGCACCCTGGCAGAGACGACCAACACCGTCAAGCCCAAAAAGGTGGCGGCCAAGAAGCAACAGCCCGCCGCCAAGAGCACGGTCAAGGAGACGGGGGCGACCAAGAAACAGACCGCCAAGAGCAATGCCAAGAAGACGGGGGCAAGCAGCAAATCCACAACCGCCAGCAAGCGAAAGGTGGCGGACAGCATTGCTGCCTCTGGGAACAACAAGGCGGCCAAGAAGGGCAAGGGTGCTTCCAAAAAGGCTGCTGCCATTGAGATTGACGACGACAGCGATGATGACTTCATGGCGGATTTGGATGCTTCTGATATGGAAGATATCGCCCAGACGCTTGCCAAGGCCACAAAGGTACCTCGTGTGCGTCGTCGTTCGGCGGCGAACTCTCGTCGTGCTGGTGGGGCACGCAAGAAACCCTCCAACAATAGTAGTAGCTTGAACGAGCTCATTGGCGAGGAGTCCTCTTCGGATGAGGATGACTGTGTCGAGAAGGGTGGCGCTGACTCGGATTGGGACCGCTGTGATGATGGAGAAGGGCGCGCGGGTGAGGATGGTGGTGACAGTGATTCTGATTTTGAGTGAGCCTGAGATGACGACTAGACGATTTGAAACTATACGGAAGGCAGCACTGCAGAGGCATTTACCGCATTGTTCCGATACGTGGTTGCTCCTGGTCTATCAACGCTTGGGTTTGCCAACGATATTCTCCATAGCTAGCTAGCTAGCAATGTAACTAGCTAGCACCTGACAGCAACTAGCTACCGGTAGCTCTACTAGATAGATAGCCCCAATACCCGGAATACGTACATGTAGTCCCCGTATTCGGTGTCTTCGTGCATTCCCATTTTCCAAAAGAGGAGCTTTGAGCCTACCAGTACATGTATTTTTGGTCCAGGGGTGGTCCACCTGTGAACTTCAATCCGACCTGCAGGCTTAATTATAATCATTTGCACTGACGTGTCGGAGGCATCTTCCTCTCTCGAGACTTCAACCAACGGTCGCGCATGAGCATGCAGTCCCAGAAACACAGAACAAAAAGTCAAAAATTCTGAAGAACGTCCTCGACCATGAAGTTGACCCTGTTTGCCGCCGCTTTCTTGCCTCTTACGGCCGCCTTTACGTTCCAACCTGACCGTATGTGGGGTTGGTCGAGTGATACAGATGAGCCATTGTCGAACCTGGTTCCCGATTGTACCAAGCAGCCCACAGTTTCCGTGTTGAACAAGGGCACTTACGAGGGCGTCAATGGGCATCAGAATGACTTTGCTGCTGCCAATCGCTTCCCAGAAGCCACCAGTGCTCCAGTGCCCAGCAAGTATCGTTCACAGCCTCAACCAGCTACACCTCAGTCTGTGCCAGAGGTTTCTTCCAGGGCTCTTCCTCCCCAAGAAAAAGATGCCTTCTTTCCTGACCCGGCTAACACTCCTTCGAATCCATTGTCTTCGCGCAGCCACAATAGACTTGTTGGTACCGACCGGGCACCGGACCAAAAGCCAGAATCGTGGACTATGCAACAATGGTAGGAAAGATATACATTCTTGACCACCATCTTGTGAAGTATATCTACGGATCTGGTTCCGTCAAATCAAAAATCCTTACAAATCCTTACATGTATGTAATAATCAACCTATTCACCATCACTCCAGTCGCCCAACATCTCGTCGAGCAATCTACCTTACTCTTTGAAAAATCCAGAAAGTCCATTGCCATTACTACTACACTTGCCCATCTTCTTCAAGTCAGCCGATTCCAGCGTCAATAATGCTTCATGCAAAGCTGCGGCTAAGCTTGCTGGCAGGATCAGCGCCCTCATGGCTTGGCACGCAGACAGATAAAACTTTCCTCCAGGTCTGTTTACTTTAGTTTGTGATTGACAACGGTGCTAGCTAAGGTCAAGTTTCAGAAGTTGTGACTTTGTTTTGAAATTTCATGGAGACCAAGGCTTCTGCATTGCGCCGACCGAATCAATCATTGAGTTACACATACACATATCCAAACAAACAATGCTGTTGCATTCATCAGTCTTAGAGAACAGTCATGAGCGCCGACACGGCCAAGAGGATCTGATAAAAGAGCACAACTCCACGGGCTCCCGAAACTTCGTTCGCTTCACTAGCTGTAACATCCGTGTCTCCATCGTCCTTTGCCTCGTCTCCTTCGTGCTCATGATTATGGTCCTCGCCTCCTTCTTCAGTGTGCTGCTCGACTTTACGGCCGCAGATGACTTCTTCCGGTGCCCCCGCCACAGCCGCATCAAAGGGCTTGAATGTGAGTGAGGACGAAAAGACTTTCAACTCGCCGCCATCCGCGTTGCCCAATAAGTCAATGCATGGACGACCTGATTATTCTTTTCAAAGACAAACGCCTGACCAACTCCCGGCACAAAGAGGACTTCGGAGCATTCCGTCATGTTGGTCACCACCTGGACTTCTGCCTTTTGCTCCCAAGCGCTGTCATGGTATTGGAACACATGGAAGGATCCAGTAGGAAGGAACACCAAGACGGTCTCGGCCGCGCCCTTCTCATACGCAAAAGCGCACTGACGGGCCGGCAAGGGCAAGAGCTGATTCTCAGTCAGCTCCATGTCGTCAGGTTCAAAGGCCATGAGGAAGAAGGCTTCCGGTCCGGCAAAGTTTCCGACCACGTGATGCGCATTATCGTGCCCTGTGAAAGATCCAGTGCGACTCTCATTGTGGGCAGCCGGATACGAGAGAGCTCTGGAGGTGTACGTGCCAGCAGTTTCGTCATAGTCGACACGGAGGATACCCCCGTGGTCCGCGTTACAGGCCAAGGCGAACTGATTGTCATGAGCCCACTCCCCATGGAACCCCACGCAAGACGTATCGGGATTGGAAGTATCGTCAATCGAATGCAAGAGATTTCCCTCGTAATCTTCAACCACAAAGGTATCTGGAAGGGCTTGAGTGACACCCACTCCTGGAGTGCGGTTGATACGGTCCGGGGTTGCCAGAGAATACATAATGTGACCATCGTCCACCGGAGCCGCCGCTCCGTGGTGAGATCCCTGGAGTGTCTTGGTGTAAATGACAGCACTTTCCGTGGTGGACCCGAACTTGGTTTCATCGACAATCCAAATGGTAGAGTTGACCGGTTCGATTCCAGCTTCTTCGTCTCCATACGTTCCATCACAAAAGAGAGCAATGCGATCATCGTGAGGAGTATAGTGGATAACACGGGCACATTCAAAGCCAGCGTTCTCAATGAACGATGGAGTTTCCCAGGTTAGATCATAGTGGTCTCCGTGCATTTCCGTGCGAGCACCTGTATCCAAGAAGGATACCACTCCATCGGTATATCCGAGCTCTTCGGAACCGCGGAACATGACGCCGATTTCCGTGAAGGAGCTCGTGGCCTTCATGTTGAGTCCTGCCTTGCCAGGAGCATCCGTAATGGTGTACTCGGGGGTCAGGTCTTCCAGCGCACCAGTCGAGACATCAAAAACATAGATGTTGGTGTTGTTGTCATCAGAGACAAAGAGCTTCCCGTGGCTGCAGCTTGCCGCCAAGACGTTCTGGACGGAAAGAGCCGAGCAAAGGACGAGAGAGTTGAGGAGCTTCATTGTCGATATCTTCCCAACAATAATGAGAGAATGAATCCAAGTACAATTATTCTTTTGCCATCCAAATTCTTGGTGCCGAAAGATCTGCTGCAATTCAGCCTGATGATGATGCAATTTCAGGATGAAATATTTAATCATATAATTTAATAGAGTATTTAAACATTTTAATAACGGCAAAACGAAACGTGATGTTGACGTTGCATCACGTGGAGTTCAGTGGAAGCAATAAAAGAACCTTCAGAAACCCTCGATCTTCTCGGCTGCTCCCAGCTTTGAACGAAACAAGGGCATCGTCAGACATCTCTCATTTCAAGTTGATTACCATGAGTATTACTTCCTGTCTCGACGACTACGATTGCAAGAACGGAGGGTCCTGCGAGTCTCCGCTGGACTTCTTGGTGGACCATGCCGATGCCATTGAACCGGCCAAGTGTGTTTGTCTGCCAGGGTATAGAGGACACAAGTGCGAGTTCTCGTGCCCTGTTCTCTGCGAACACCGTGGCAAATGCGTCAAGTGGAATGATCATGGCGAGTTGGAATTGCCAGACGACTTTCGCTGCGATTGCCCAGCTGGGTTCGAAGGAAGACTCTGCCAAACTCGTGAAGCCAAGCCCGCAACAACTCCTGCACCCATTGCAGCACCTACCGGTACCACCGCACCTCTAAAGCCAACTGCCATTGCACCCATTCCTACCCACATCAAACAGCAGCACGATAGCCCAGCGAATCCAACTCTTGTGGCTGGTCTTGTTGTATGTATAGGAGGTGCCGTCGTCCTCCTCGCTCTCCTTCTCTCCCTGTTTCTTTCCCAAAAGAGAAACGGTGGAGAGAGCTCTGGACACGCCCGGGCGGACGAACTGGAAATGGAGGAGGCATCCCCACCTGTCGCAACCACCGTTAATCACGATGAAGATCTTGTGGAACCAAGTGTCAAGATTACCTAACTTTCAATGCTGGAGGCGAGCGTCGGCATGGAAGGTTTCAGTGTACGATTACGGTGTTGATGTATAGAGACTATGGATATAAGAGCTGTTTCAAAGCAAAGACACGACATGCGTAGCTTAGACGTCACTCATTACTCATTATTGTTTCTCGCTCGTAGCTCCTTCAGCTTGTCTTGGGCGTATTCTTTGGCGTCTTCGCAGATTCCTCTAGCGGCCTTCTCAAGCCAAAAGATGGCCTCGGCTTCATCCACACTAACACCAAATTCACCATCTGCCAAAGCCTTTCCAAAACTAAATGCTGCCAAGTCTGATCCTTGGCCTGCTGCCATGGATGTATACATGATAGCCTTCTTTGTACACTTCGGAACACCGTGGCCACTCAGATAGCACTTTCCCAGCATTACTGTTCCATACACATCCCCAGCTTCATGAGCTTTCTTGAGCCACTGAATGGCCAGCTTTTCATCTTCGTCAAAGCCAAATTTGCCCATCAAGTAGCCAACTCCCACCTCGCACATGGACATTCCATCACCGGATTCTGCCAGCCTCAACAACTCTTCCATTTTTCTCTGTTGTTGGACCTTAAGATTCCATTTGTAGGCCAAATCACTAGGAATATCACCAGACTCGAACAGTGCCTCAATGATGTTCCGGTGCTGGATTGCTGGTAAAAGCTTCTTGCCCATCCCTTGACCAGTGATTGGAGACTTGAGATCCCCGCAATGCTGCAGAAAATGTTCCTCAATGGCAGGCCTGTCATAGATGCGCCCATCCTCAGCCATGACAGGATCCCATGGTAATTCCAAAGTGATTGGACAAATCAAATCATCTGCAGGGCATTTCCTCTGGCGCTTAGCTGTGACTTGGGTCTCTTTGGAATCCATTGCTTTATGCAACCGTTTGCGAAGGGCAGCTGTATTACCCTTTGCCAAAAGACCAGCTTTGCGGCATTCTTTCTGGAGTTGACGATAGGACATGTTGTCCAGATTCTTGCCTGTGGCAGACATCTTCTTGCTGGTGTGCCCTGAAGCGGATGAAAAAGCAACAGGATTGCTGTGAAGCATGTAGACGGAAGATTCAATGGAAAGTCTTTTTGGGCTCGTGAACGTTCCTTGTTGAATGAATTCAATCGATCCTTTCCAGAACTCGTTCGAAGCAATTTGTGAGCTGAGGTATTTTGGGCCTTCTAGATCTAGTGCCGTTCATTCAAAGCTTTCAATTGAGTTGAGGACTTTTGTGCATCAGGAAGCATGAACGACAAACCGACATTTGTAAGTGGAAACGTGGAGTTGTTGGCCGAGCTATGTCTCAAGTTTTGGTGCGAAACTAACGTCATGCATTACCCTGCGTGTTTCCATCTTCTTGCTATTTTTGCCGCGGGAGTTCGTCTTTTTGACTTGCGAACGTTGGTGCATGGAAAGGTTATGTACGAGTTGAGAGTCAAAGGAATCACGTCAGTGCAAGACGCATCTAGCTACTCTTTACTAATAGAATTTGAAAGGTGGCCTCTGATGTAGGCTGTCTGCTCTGCTTTCATTACCGCAATCGTTCGTCGGCCCGAGGGAGAAACTTGCATTCCGGGGGTGGATCTGTTCGACCGGTAATTCTAGGCGATATCACGATGCCCGCCAAGCTCAACCGCGAGAATCCAAGCCACAGCAGCTGAGGGGTCAATGCTAGAGCCTTTAGTGCTTTTGTATACGCTCCAGTCTCCTTTGAGAAATTGTGTCAGCTTATATTTGCTCTCGTCCTCTCCAAGCTCCAGTTGCTGGGTGATGATCTTGGCCCGGCTCTTCCAGCGTTCCAAGTTGCAAATTCTTAGATCGACCCACCCCTTGTTGGCAACTTTGTTCAAGTCATCAGTGGACGACGGCAAGGGTACATCCATGCGCATGCCTTTTGGCTCAGGGATTGAAATATTCGGACCACGTAGAAGACGGAGGTCTTGAAGCAAGACAGGGACCCCTACGGAAATGGCCGTCTGGATGAGATTGTCAGTGGTACTGAGATCCGAAGCCCGCGTCGCATGTTCGAGCTTGCCCACCTCAAGCTCCAGCTTTCTAGACAAAGCGTTCATGTCGCAGTCTCGCAGCCTTTTCCATGTCCCAAGCTCATTGGCTAGTATGCCGGCTTCGAACAAGAGCTTGGAGATTTCGGGCGGCCCAAGCTTGCCTAGAGCCACCGAGGCTGCGCTTGGTTTGTCCGCAACTGGCTTCCCGGCTGCCGCTACATCCGTTGTATCACACAGCCGCTCGAGTTGTTCACAAGCCATCATTCGATTTATCCCTGCGTGGTATCCTGGGCCCAACAACGTTCCTCGCATTGCACCAAGAATGTTGTTTCCTGTCGAGATTGAAAGGAGCTCCTCTATTGCCATCTCCGATATTTCTGTGAGAGCAAGCAAACAACACATTGGGTTTGATTTTCCTGCGCCAAACGATGCTATACAGAAACATGCAGCAAGATCGACTTACCTTCCGGAGAGATCAGCTCCATTTGACCGGGTGCTGTGATTGTGAGAAACTCATCCCGGGTGAACACTCCATTCTCGCCCATGTCAACTACAGCCATTCTCAGTGGTCCCAGTCTGTTGTACATGGCGGGATCTTCTCGGAGACAGAGTGTTTGCGACTTAATACTGTTGGTATCATCTGTCGGTGGCAAGGATACGAATTGCCCTCCATAAAGGCTGGAGTTGCCATGCTTGTCTGAAACTGATGGGAACAAAGGAAATGCATGTAAGGGGAATGGAGCGTTGACTATATGGCTGTTTCGGACAAGGAGAACGGAATAAAAAGATCCCAATACTTACCCTCGCGGATATCCATGCTCTTGTATCCAATCGCTGCTGCTGGTTTGAGCTCTTTGACAGAAGGTGCACCGGGTGTCATGGACCACAAGAGAAGCAAACCAGAGTGCCCAAAAGCTGTGGCCGACTTGGAGAGCAGCATACGGCTCGGCCGGTCCTCGGAGTGCGTATACGGGATTTGAAACCCCATACCTCCAGTTCCCGTCGTGCCAATCTTGAGGTATCCCTGAAGCTGCTGTTCTTTTGCTACTTCTTGGAGGCATCGAACGTGTCGGATGAGTTGCGGCGTGCCCAAGGAAAGCAGGGTCTGTTCCGCCTCCTCGCACAGCAAAGTAGGATCTTTGAATGTAGGACAGAGGGAGTGTTCCTCGACGTCATGAGCCGCATTATTGGCAGCCATGGCTTGACGCAACCGTGTGGCTGCTGTGAATACATCTTGATAGCTTAGAACTGTTGCCGTATTGATACAGTCCACAATGACGTTTGGTTTGTGCTCCCGTACCATCGATACCAAATGGTTTTCTTCGTAAGACGCACGAAAGTCTCCCAACATGTCCTCCAACATGGTGGCTCGAATCCTCGGATCTTCTTTTCTATCCAATGGAGACATGTTGGCAAATTCGGTGCGAACAAAGATATCACCCCATGCTGGAAGGAAGCTCGTGGGAGACGACGGCGCGACAGAGTCACGCCAGTAATCGTCTTTTCGGAATCGCATGTCGTCTTGGAGCTCATTGACGGTTCGAATTGCTTGTTCTTGTGTCAGCGCTGCCACAACGACTCGAGACGGCCTCATGGACGTGGGGAGACGTCCCAGGTGCTTGGCAATGGCCGATCCCACGAGGCCACCACCGCCCAGAATAAGGACGTTGGCCTTATGCAGCATGTTGGCTGCAACCCGCAGTTGGCTATTCATGGTTTTGCTGTTTCTTGCTTTCAATGGCTGCTCTCAGTATTGATTGTTTCTTCTGTTCCGGTTGTCTGAAATCAATGAGGCCCACGACAACTGTTCCTGAATCCTGAGCCGCATTGCTGCCATTGCTTCTTGCCTGCGTTGCTGTCGTGCATTGCTGTTCTGTTTGGCTTCATCTGCCAATTAGATACAGTAAAGCATACATCACAATTGACCTCTTCTTAAATTTCTCTGAGTGATGGGATTCGATTCGCACAGTTCATGTTGGGATATGCATATAGCTACGGCACAAGAACTATTCGCCTTTGCTTCGGGACCACAGCAACAGCAAGCTGTTGTGCTTGCTGTGTGAAGTTTGAACAAGCCTGGAGGCTTCAAATCTGTTACAGTATCATTTCCCATTGTAGATGAACAACCTGCCAGCTTGATGTCTTGTGCTTCGTTTTCCTTGTCGACCGGTACCAGGTACGGTACCAGCGACCCGAACACAAACAAGCTGCGGTACCGGTGCCACCTGCAGTGCCTACCGGTATTAATAGTCCCGAAGTCCGCCTATTCTGTGCCTAAGCCTGCCCCCTCGCCGGGTTCCATACATAGCTTTCCTATCCAAGCCCCCCTGTTTAGAAGGAAGGTGCAAGAGCTCTATAGTTTGGAAGCCAAATGGTGCCATGCCAAGGACTGCCCGTTCATTGCTTTTTTGCTTTCGACGCATCTCGGAGTTCTGGATGGCTGTTTTCTCCCAGTGTATTCCATTCCACCTTTGCTGGCTTATGTAGTGAGTAAAGCGCCCTCATAGAAGGCATGATGTCATTTTGAAGTAACGGAACAGCTTGAAGTGTCACCTACTAAAGTGTTTATAGTCGTTGATCCAGATGTCATCACAAGTTCCCATTTTGGTCTTTGAAGCTTGTTTTCATCTCTTGCTGATTCCCTGCCACGCACTGGCATTTTGGTGACATGGCGTGCCGTGACACTCCGATTTTTTCGGGACTCCCTTGATTGGCTGTTCTCTTCAAAATGTCAATCGAGAACCTTGTGATCGCTTATGAAACTGCACCTTTGGCGGGGCACAGTTTAGCAAGGTAGATCTAGGAAAGAGAATTTGCGTGGATGCAAGCCTTGTGGTCCGGTGGAGGAATGGCGGAGTGAAGGACGAATAGCTTCATGCTGACAGTTCCTATGTTCTAGTCTACATGTAGCTAGCTAGCTAGATAGATAACCACTGCGAGAGCTGCCCGCAATCTAGATTTTTTAAAAGTTGCTCTTTTGGGTTTAGGAGGTTGCTTCATCAGAGATTTGCTACCGTAGCTAGCTAGTGTTGGAGCTTGTCGAACATCTAGCTAGTAGCTCTATCATTGGTCTTTTTGTTGGTTGCAGACACGATGGTACAAGTGTTCTTCCCAATCAGAGCGTCCATCAAGTTACAGAGTTATCAGATAGATGATACCCCAATCTCTGACGATACGGTTTGGTCTTCTTCCCCAATCCAAGCTTGCTTTGGCTACATGACTTCTTTTTTGCGATGAGTTGCGTGCCGAAACAGCCACATCTGCAAGCTTGTGTCATTGTTTTGCTTTGGTTGCATGTATGATAGATGCCATCTGGGAGTGCCATGACGGCTCGAAGGGTCGCGTCGTGGCTTCTATTTGTCTACGAAGATGTTGAGAGTGTAGGTATGCTACACCATGATTCGTCAATGGGTTCTGGTTTCACAACTTCTGATCCATAAGAGTGAAAAGGAAGGTACTGTTAGATTTTGTATTGAACCCGAATCAATGAATTCTGACAACCCCTTGACAGGGTTTTTCTCTATTTAGGTGACGTAAGAAGGGGTGTATAGTTTTCATTGGCTTATGAGTGGAACGATTGCTTTCGTGACATTTTGTGTTAAATCATATTTTGTTGGAATGCTAATTATAGCCCTTTTGGTGTCAGTTTGCAGTCGTCATTCGGTTAGTAGAGCACTTTTGGTGCGATGTTTTTTGTGGATGGTGGTTCGCAGAGAGAGTGTAGGCAAGGCAAGCTTGGAGACAGCCAGCACAACGAACGAGAAAAACAACATCGTCATACCCATCACCTGCCCATCACATCAACAACGAAAGAAACAACCCGCCAACAAAACAACCAGTGCTTTCTTTCTTTCTTCCAAACGGAGTAGAAAGCGTAACACACAGACACGATCTTTTGGCTAATAGAAGAAAAGGATTCTGGTTTGAGCAAATAGACTAGCAGCCATAGTAGCTACCATCATCAGCATCAGCATCAGATCTCCTCGACTAAGTCTTGATAACCGTTGCGAAGAGACAGGAGTCGTGAGTGAGTGAGTGAGTGATTGCCCATCAGAAAGAATAGAAGCAATCAAACCAAACAAGCAAGACGCCGCCGCATTGGCTCTTACTATTAATACAAGTTAGCGAGCTCACCTGAGCAGCTCAGTCAAGTCAAGTCAAGAGAAGACAAGAGAAAGTCCCATTAAGCTACCCAAAGGGTATACGGTATACCCTCCGATCGCACATCCTTCCTTCCTGATTATCTTCAGACCTGCTAAGAAGGATAAGAAAGAAAACAAGATGCTCTCGTTGAAGACAGCTTCACAAGGTACAAGTCCTGGCTTTCACCACCATCATCCCCACCATCATGGTTCACCTACTTCCACTAGTACTAGCAGTGGTAGTGGTAGTACATCCGATACCGTGGATCAGACATCTTGCTGTTCATTGGTGGACGCCATGAGTACGGCAGAAGCCAGTACCAGTACGGCCAGCAGCAGTGCTACCAACGGCACTACCGGTAGCTCGTCCAGTGGACTCAGACGAAAACCCACCATGAAGTCTTCCTATGCGCTAACGTCCATGCTACAGCAGCAACAGCAGCAACAACCACAAGATGACGAAGAGTATACCAAACACAGCAATAGCAGTCCCACTCTATCCATGATACCCGACACAACAACTACTACTCTAGCGTCGGCGATTGTGGCCGACGCCGCTGCCATGACGCGCATGTCTCCGGCCGAGTTTGGCGCGGCTCTACACGCCATTGAACAACCGTCGTCTCAAGATAGTAGTACCCCATTTACCGAAAGTCAATTGCGCAAAGCACTCGAATGTCCTTTGCGACAAGCCCGCAAATTACGAGACAATTGTCGAGGACCTGGACCACAAACCAGTTGGATTGGATTGCCGTATCCGTCGCTACGAGAAGAACGACCCTTTCTCTACGATCACATGCACACGCATCCACTGGCGGAAATTCTACAACGCACTCTTAACAAGACAACAACAGACTTGGCACAATTGCATCAAACGTGGGACTCCACTCAAATGACGGCACTTCAACATCAACGACAACTCGTCGCACCCCTGCTCGACAAACATGAACGAACACAGTTTGCACACGCTTACGAATCCTTTGTCACGTCCTGTTGTATTCCTCTCTTGCATGCCGCCGCGTTGCGACATTCCGTCTTTTCCACCAGTTCCGCCGGTGTCGTGTATCGCTATCAAGTCTTTCCTACCATTAACATTGTCTATCCGAACGATCCAGAGGCATGTCGGCCACCGTCGTGCGATCTCGCCCATGGCAAATCGGTCGGATGGTTGCATTTTCACATTCCTCTCACGGCTGCGTGCAATACATCCGCACTCTACTGCGAACGATATCCCGGACGCGAAGATTGGCATGCGTTGCGATGTACTTCTGTCGGGCTGGGATACTGTTGGGATGGTGCCCGGTGTCATTCCTTTGTGCCACTCAATACTACTAACGCCACACGCGTCTCGTTGGATTTTCGAATCCTCTTGGTCCGACCCGATTCCTTGACAAGCCAAGAAGATGATGAATTGTGTCGACCACTTCATTTGACCGATTCCTTGACACGCATTCCGGGGTTTTACGAACAAGCCACTATGGATGTAGGAGGTGCCTCGCGGATTCTACTAAGGAGACGATCGTCTCCATGGTCGGCCGTGCCCGATGCGCGATGTGGATTTCCGTTTGCTTGAAACGAAAGAACTGGACAGACAAGAACATCCGCGGCTAGTAGTAGTAGTAGTAGTAGTAGTAGAGAGAAGGAGTTGGTTAGTTTGGTGCAGGCAGACAGGCAGTATGATTATCACTTGCATACATACGGTAGAGAAAATGAAAACGCTAAAAGTAGTATGATTGATTCGATCTATTATAGTAAACACCTATGACTAGCTAGCTAGCATTGTTGATACGTCTGACCCACATAGTTAGCCATTTTACACGCCTATGCATATGGTACAATGGTACCGTGCTTCCTTTAGGTACATGTAGATAGAGAGGACCGTTGGTGGCTTGCAGTGGAGTGAGCGACTGAGTCGTTTCGATACAGATTGTTCGTTCCATCGGAGATGCACCTCAGCGTGGAGGAACTACGGTATCGAGACCTTAGAAAGCTACAGCCCATGTACGTACCGGTAGACACTAGCTGGCTGGCTACAGATTTTGCACCAATAAATTCAATCGTATGTCACAGGCGTGGCAGCGCCGTCCTGACTTCAAATTTTTTTCGCGAGATCGCACAGATGGATGCAGACTACTCTCTTGCGCCTCACTTTTTTGCAACCATCCATATCTTCTTATGACGACAATCTACGATGAGCGAGGTCGGATTACAAACACACAAGCAACTCAAGTTAGCATTAGATAGTCTTAGTAAATGGATAAAGAACATAGATATGAACCTCGAACTGTTGAACATGACACTCTTACGAATGATCGGCAATGGGCTTTTGCCGTCGTTTTTGAGCCGCTTTCTTCATCACCATGACATCCAGAGCCTCCAAGAAGAGAGCCAAGACGGACGAGGCTGTGCAGACTGCAGGAATGCTCCTGAAGCTCTCCAAAAAGGGTGGAGGAATGACTGCTCATTCAGCTCTTCGCTTGGCCGGGGTATCAACAGACGATAGAGCAAATCGTAACCTTCAGCGCCGAGCTCTTCGTGCCCGAGACAAGTTTGATGAACAACGAAAGCAACTGGAGAGTGATTTCAGCCAAATAGAGCTGGAAGAAGAGGAAGACGAGACTCAAGACCACCCATTTCCTGATTCTCAAGAGAGCGTGATTCCGATCGTCCCCACACTTCCAAAGCAGTTGAAGATGAGGAAGACGTCCAAACAGGCCGCAGCTCAACGAAAAGCAAACATACAAGTCAAAGACTTGAAGGCAAAACTATTCCAAGAGGCCGTGGAATCTCTCCAGCAGCAGTCTAAGCGACAAGAAGAAGCAATTGCATCTGGATGTGCTTACAGGAAGAAGTCCGCCGAAACCATCTGCAATGAAATCAATGCAACAGCGCTTGCTCAAGCCCATGGCATCAAGATTGTTGCACGGACAGTACGCAATGCTTTTGAAGAGAAACGGGTGGAGATGCTGGCACGAGGCGAACAGGGCAAGATACAGGAGGAATATTTTGATGCTCTGTGTGATGCGGTCAAGTCCTATGCCCTCCTTTCCGTCGAAGATGGCAAGCAAATGAAGAATCTCCGGCCAACGCTTACCAAGATGGTTAATACGTGCATTAACAAGCTGGAAGGGGAAGGCAGTCGACGAGGAAGAGCTTTGTTTGAGAGAGTCCAAGCCATTGTTGCTGGAGAGCTTGACGTTGGCAAACCAAACAGAGTCGAGCAACGCCGGCAGCAGTATGCCACCTATGGAAACATCAATCAGTGGTACACCGGCTTCAAAGAGTTCCTGATTGACAAGGGATTTGCCAAAGCAGCAGAGGATGGAGATACAGGCGAACTTGTCTATGTTAGCAGTGATCAAGGCGAACGGATTGCCAACCTTGATGAGTCTTGTCTCACTCTTGACGACACTGAGAATGGAAAAGGTGGCAGACCTGCCATGGGATTCTATAATCCTCGAACATCTTCAGCTCCAAGTCATGGCGCCCACAAAAGCTCCTGGAAATGCACTCTTGTTGCTGGTTGCTTTGCCTCTGGAGAGTCTCTCCCTCCACACTTCCAGCTTCCAACTGATGCCAAAGATCCTGACAACGAAGGGATCTATGCAGAGTTCATTGTGGACATGCTGGAAACGTATGCCTGCTACTTGTCTGATAAAGAGCAAGGATATTCTGCCACGTACAATGTCAATGAAAAAGGAGGCATGACAAAAGAAGAGTTTGGACACTACATTCTCAAGAACTACTTTCCTCTTATTGCCTCCGATACGGCTGATATTCCAGGCAAACGAAACTGTCTTTTGGTTGACGGAGGCCCTGGTCGAACGAATGAAGACATGCTGGCACAAATGAAGATGCAAGGCGTCTATTTATATCCTTCCGGTCCACCACACACTACTCATGTCCTTCAGGTAAGAAACTTCGAGAGGATGCAATCGATTGTGCTTTATGCTCCTTGACAAATCTAACCACATCTTCGTCTTTTCTTAGATTCTAGACATGCTGTTTGCCCTCCTGAAGACCGTGTATTTCACCAACATGGAAAGACTTTGGGAATACCGACAGAACAATATCAACATCACGTCGTCCATTACTCGGAATGATATTGGATTGTTGTTCTTCGGAAGCGAACACAGTCGAAAGCGTGTCGAAGATCCAAACTTTCCATTGCTTGAGAATGGATTCCAAGCTGCCTTTGACATCCCTCGAGTCAAGAAATGCTGGAGCCAAAAGCTTGGAGTTTATCCTTACTTTACCAGAGCTGCCTTGAAGAGCAAACACATCCGTCACGAGGTTGTGGTCAGCAATCATGGTGGCCCCGCTGATACGGCAGCGGATCCAGAAGCCCAGCATCTCCGAGACTTGAATTCACTCAACAGAAAGTCTTGTTATATTCTTGATGCTGCTGGTTACAATGGAGGTATCTTCCGCATCCAATTGAGTGAATTCAGCACGACGGAGCGACAGAAGGCAATCACCAAGCCTCGCACCCGTGCTCGACAAGATGCCTTTGAAGAAGAGAAGGTTGGTGGCGGCAGATTCTTCCTTCGAACCGGAGGAGCAGCTCTCAATGATGATGACATGTTCATTGCCATCCAGAGAAGAACGCTGAAGAAAGAACTCAAGGAATTGGAAGCCAACAAGCAACACCGGCAGGAAGCCGAGCAGAGGCAGTCAATTGCTCTTCAAATTCTTGAAGAGGAAACTGTGGCGAAGGTCGAAGATTATACCAACCGACAGCTTCGGCATCTGCTCTTGTGGAAGCTTAACCAGAGCACTTTGCCTGGCGCCCTCAAGAACAAACCAGCGAAGGTTGTCAAGTGGAAGTCTGAGCTGAAAGACAAGCTGCCTCCAACGTTTGAGCCTTGGACTGATGCCCACGAGCAAGAGCTTCTGAATCTGAAGCAGAAGATTGATGGGGAGATTCAATTGGACGGCGATACAGCCTATGGCCGAATGAGAGCCAATGAAGTCAACAAGGCCACGAGCCTTGTTCGTGGGCTCTCCAGAGAAGACAAGGCATCGTTTCTGAAGAGTATCCAAGAGGATACCACCGCCGACGGCTCCGACAGTGACTCAAGCTGAGTTCGTGTGACACTGTGACACCACTATCGGTGCCATTATCTGGGCTGGTTGCCATCAAGGTATCGACTATAGCTCTGCTCAGAGCCTCACTATCAGTGCTATTAACTTGCTTGACAGAGTGGGGGTGCGAAGGGTAGCTTTGTGAGTGCCATCAAGTGTCGATGACGTTGTGGTATCATCCTGTGGTGTTTAATTCAATTTCTCGATTCAAACTGCCAGAATTTACTAGGAAAATCTCAATTTAAGAAATTGTTGAATTTATTGCAGCAAATCCTGTACTAGCTAGCACAGAGGGGGGGTTTAGAGTAGGTTGATTATCTACGGAAGCCAGCTAGCTAGGGCCAGGCTTAGCTACGGTAGAGCCAGGAACGGAACGGAACGAAACTTATCGTGCGATCCAGTACTCACAGCCGCCAACAGCCACGCAGCCAGCGTGGACAACACCCACCGGAATTAAAAGGGAAGGCGACAATTAAGACGACTTGTCCTCTCGTTCACTCCAGCGAGAATGCCGCAAAGCAAAGCTCAATGCAAGAGGCAACGCCGGGGCCCTTTGGAAACGACTCTTGGAACATGCCACACACGAGCAAGAAACACATGCCAAATGAAAGAAGAAATGCCCGGCGGCAGACTTGATGTACCCCATCAGCTGGGAGTTGCCCGTGGATCCCGTCACTGCTGAGGATGGAAGAGTTTATGAGCGTGAATGCATTAAACACATATGGAGAACCATCCCAGGGATCTCAAGTCGCCCATGACAAACCAAAGGATAGGTCGAAAGCTGTTGCCAGCTGTCCAGCACCGCAACACCATTGAGGCATTGGTGGAGACTGGTGTCATTGAGGAAGATCTGGCTGCCAAGTGGAAGGCAAAGATGAAGGAGCAGAAGGACATGGAAGAGTTGTTGAACAAGGCAGAAGAGGGAGATGGAGTTGCCATGTTCAACGTAGGAATCAAGTATGCACATGGTCTGCATGGTTTCAAGGAAGATGGCAAGTTGGCCTTTCAATGGTTCAAGAGAGCCCACGAAGCTGGCAATGTGTACGGAACGGCATGCCTGGGGGAGTGCTATTTGGAGGGTTGTGGTGTGGCAAGGTCCAACAGAGGGATGGCGTTCATAGGCATTGCAGCAGGCCAAGGATCTGATTTGGCATCATACTATTTGGGAATGGCCTTTGCCACTGGCAAGTACGGTATGCATGTCGACAAAGCAAATGCCATTCGTTGGTTGGAGAAGGCGGCTCATCAGGGCTGTCCTTACAAGCATTTGAACGATGATTGCAAGATTGAAGCTCAGCAGAAGTTGGATCAGCTCAGAGCCCATAGTCTTTAGCTGTGGGTGCAATCACTCTGCCAACCTTGTCCGCAAGCCATGGTATTATTTGGATGGAGACGAGTCGGGTTCTGTGGCCCCTTTAGTAGTAGACTCAGTAAGCTGCCAAGAATAGACCTGTCTATCTATAACATAGGGTACAATAGAGATCTTTCACTGCCCTACTGGCTAGCATTCAAGGTAAGTTTGATGGAGAATGGAGAATCCTCCTTCATGCACCATTGTGGAACGCTCCATGTGGACTGGCTAGCAGCTTCTTTATTCCAGGATCTGCTTACGGTACATGTACTTACTGTACATGTAGTGATGTAGACTAGTGATGTATTGCCACTTCATCACTACCGGTACCAGGTACAGCGTACTCATCAGTGCTCAAGAACTGCACTGTGGTGTGGGCGCTCTGTCAAACCCAGTACCACTAGAGTAAGGTAGCACTCTCACTTTTTGCTGCATGAAGCCATCGAGTCGAGTCGAGTCGAGTCTTACTGTATGTAGTGATTGATTAGTGGCTGTTCATAACTACATGTAAGACTCAATGGCTCGAAGAATGACTGATGTTAACTAAAAATGGCTCGAGTACTTTCTGCGAGTAAATACCAAAAACCGGTAGACCACGGTAGCTTCAAACTTCTAAATATCTACTAGTACGTCGTACGTCGTACGTCGTAGTAGACCACTGTAGGCAGACGGACTCAATCACACTTCACACTCCAAAGAAGCGTTCTTGGATCAGATACTTTTTAGGGCAGGATTTAAAGGCCCGGCCGCTTTGGAGACTCGAGCACAAGGCATGCCATACCCACTTGCTGTAAGTTGTGCGCAATGGCGTGGAGTTGGATGTTGGACGGATGAAGAAAAAACAGCTCATCGAGATACGAGCCTACAGAGTTCCTCCTCCAAAGAAGCTCCAAAGCAGCATCACAAAACCAACAAAATAACAATGAAGGTACACTGTGCTCAAGAGACAAAAGTTCTCTACAAAGGAAAGTTTGTAGCTGACAATGCCACTGGTGCTACATCAATTGCATCCGTTGTGAAGAATTGGAGTCCATCAAAGAGAGACCAACTTGACCAAGCTATGCCTAAGTTGCTGGAAGCCAATCCTATCCTGACTTCTCATCTTGAATCTAGAAAGGGTAAATCTGGGGAAGAAGTTGTGTCTATCTTCGATACCTTTGGAGCAAAGGATCTACTTCGCTACATTGAGAGACCCAGTTCAACAGTTCCTTCAACTCCTATTGAAGACATGAAACCAAATGAACTTCTTGCCCATGTTGAAAGGCACGCCATTCCCCACTTTCCAGACCACGTCAGTGTTTCCACCAGGCTTGGCACCGAAGAAATCCGGGGATAGAACTCCAGTTTTTGAGGTCCATGTAATGGACTTGTCAAGCAATCATTCATGCATTGCAGTGGTGATGAGCCATGTTGTTGGAGATGGAGCAGTTTATTTCCAGGTTGTCAAATTGTCCAATGAAGCCAGGGTCATTGCTGCAGTCCATTCTTCCAGACTAAAAGTTTGAGTATAGAAACACCCAAATGAGCAAGCACAAAAACTAGCCTTTTCCCTTGAGCCTAGAGTCTTCCGGACCATAGAGAAGTTTGGGGTGCCTGTGATCGCGAGTCACTGTCAAGCCTGTGTGTGAGGATCTTGGGTGAGGGGGGCTCCACACCAAAGATCTTGCCCGCACGTATGAGTCTGACTATCTACGGTAGCCTGCATGCACTCAAGAATCCAGGATCTTGGCTACCTGATATCACCAATTCAACAGCTATCATACTAGTACCATGACCGGGCACAATATGATGTATGTCATAGTGATCTCGGGGTGCGTCAACTTAGCGCTGCCAGGTGCCGGCTAGTAAAGCAACAACATCAGCAAAAGACAACAATAGTAGTAGCAGCAGTCATTGTTGTTAGTCGAATGTGTGCTATCATTCCTCCTTCGGAGCGAGCGATTAACATGAACTCGACCGAAGTCTGGTCGGCAAAGAACTGACGGCCATCCCGTGCCATGGTCCATGTACTATACTGTAGAAATGAACGAGAGACGGCTGCTTTCTGCATCCGTACCGGTCTAGGCTGAGAGTGGACGCAACAGGTGCGATTGACCAATTCTGGGGAGTGGAATACTCACTCCATCAATTCTCTGTTCGCGGATGGAATCCTCGACTGCCGTCCAATAGAATTAATTCAACGGGAGAAAGAAGTCAACGCTGAGACAACAAAATCGATCCTTCTGTGGATGACACCTCCTCCCTGTGTGAATCAGTGCCCTTGGAGCTTCCTGTGGATCGACTCTGGTTCAAGCCCTTGGAGCTCCGCGAAAGGTGAAGATTCATCAGCCATTCCGGGGTGGTAAAATGAGGGGTTTACTATGGATTAGAGAGAGCTAGACGAGGATGGGGACAGAGCGCGAGGGGAGGGCATGATGCAGGATCGCAAGGCAAGCAATCAAGTGCGCAAGCAGGGCAACATGGAAGCCAAGGAAAGGGGGGAAGGCAGGAGTGCATGGAGGAGCAAAGGAGCAAGACTAGCGGAAGAGATCGAGGGCACCACAGTCATCCCAACGCTTGGAAACCTTGAGAGCTGGGACACGGGAGCCTCTCAAACACAATGTCGTGGCACGGGCAAGAGCTATGCTCAACCTGGAGCGTTCCTCAATCGTGTATGAAGTTAAATCTGAAACGACCCTAATTTAGGGACGGATTTAGGGACGGATTCCCTTTAGGGTCGGGTTTCAAAACCGACCCTAAAAATAGGGACGGTTTCTGAAAAACCGTCCCTAATTTAGGGTCGGATTTCGATTTAGGGTCGGGTTTGAAAACTGTCCCTAAATAGAAACGGGACTGAGTGGTAAATACATTGAAATCCGACCCTAATTTAGGGTCGGGTTTCAAAACCGACCCTAAAAATAGGGACGGTTTCTGAAAAACCGTCCCTAATTTAGGGTCGGATTTTGATTTTGGGTCGGGTTTCGAACCCGACCCTATTCTCCAATAGAATTAGGGACGGGTTTCAAAGATTTAGGGTCGGATTTAGGGTCGGTTTCTCCATCACCCAGGATTGAGGGACGCTCCTGGCCGAGATGAAAGAGCGAACCACAGAGTAGGGCTCCAGCTCGCCCGCCCCCCAAGATGAGAGCTCCGTGACTAAATTTTTGCAATTGCTGTCTTCCTGGGACTCGACTCGACTCGACTCAACTCACCCCACGTTCTTTGTCGTACCGCAAGAAAGGACACACCATGGATGATGTCATTCATGGCCGAGAACTGACTGCCATCCCATGGTCCATGGGATTAAATGAGGAAGTCAACGGGGGTTTAGAATAGGGTAATTATCTACGGAAGCCAGCCAGGGCCAGGAATGGTTTTCCAAAGAGGGTCAGCTTGAGTCAGGCTTGGATAATACCGGTAGAGGTGCGATTGATCAACTCGAATAATTAAAACAACTCGCCTGGTGACGGCCGGGATCTGACTGCCTTCCCGCAGTCCATAGAAATTCAATGCAGGATGGCTATCGAATCTATACTACCTCGTAGCCATCGATCGATCGATCGTTTCAACACCAGTACTCCTGTCCGCCAAGCTTGGATCTACCTCCTGTTTACCATAGAAATTCAATGAGGGAGAGGAGTCAGTGCTGTGCCATTGGCAATCTCGGTTCCAGGCCAGCAATCTCGGTCAATCTCGGTCAATCTACTGTTGAATCTTGGTCAATCTTCCCAATCTCGGTCTGGATAACCAAAAAAAAACTGAACGTCTAATAACGGATTCAGACGAGATGTGCTTGAGGACTACCCACGAGCTAAGGCTCGGGTATTTCCCACAGTCAAGTCTGCTCACCGGCCACACTGGCCGCCTTTGGTCTGGATAACCAAGATTGGCGAGATCCGTGACTCAGCCTTTCCCGAAAATGTCTTCCTTTATGGATGATGTGAATGATGAATCTTGGAGCCACTACATGCAGCTACGGTACCCCATTCTCCCCCTCTAGTTAGTTGTCAATGTGTAACGTCAATGGCAGCAGAGCAGAAAATAGTCGTAGCAGTATCATAGCTGTACCACCAGCAGCATTATTTTATATATTAGTTGATGTGGTTCTTTCGTGGAATTACCTGGTTCACTGGTACAGAGAGAATCACAAAGAGACTAGGAAACCAAAGGAGCGAGCGAAGAATCTGAAAGGATAATTCTCTCTTTGTCTGTCTCGTGTGTTGTGTGTAATGTCGTTTCGTTGCCGACTTGATCGCTCCTCCTACTTCCTTTTCAATGACTTTGTTCGAATTTGGCAGTCTCTTCCTCTCCTCGGTGATCGACCGAACCAGTCTCCAGTCTAAAAAGGACTGCAGACTCAACGTTTGCAAAGGAATCTTTTTCGGCAGGTACGATTCAATTGACTTCAAAACAACTTCAGCTGGAAGCAGCATCGGCGTGCTGGCCAACCAAACCTTTTCTTGCATGGCTGGGGATGCAATTCCTGCTGGTGTCGGCCTGGCTGCTTGGATCCAGTGTCCATTGAACTTTGCATCGGCCCTGTAAGGTGCAAGGGATAGGCAAGCGTGCACATACCGGTAATTCTCAGTCAAGGGTTCCGTTTGAGGCTCTCCGTTTCAAGTTTCAAGACGGCATTCTGGCTAGCTTCCGTGCTTCTGTAGATCAACGTTGCTGAAGAGCCCTGAGGTCAATAATCCAAGGAGGTGTGCTTACCAGTTACCATGCAGTGCCTTTCCCTCGGCACTCCAGTCCATCAGTCCGTCGACAGGATACCTGATACCGGTGCCGTGTGGGCTTACTGGTTCTCTGGTCACCTACGGTGTTCTAGAGTACTTAGGGCATTCTCTAGTAGATTCGTTCGTCCTAAAACTCGTTCTAAGTCTAATTTAGAACGAATTTTTAGGACGAAAGCAATCTTTAACTCAAATTCGTCCTAATTTTAGGACGATTTTTAGGACGAACTGAAAATTTGCGTCCTATTTTTCTAAAATACGACGAGAAAACAAACTCGTCCTAAAGACTCGTCCTATCAAATCCTTTAAATCCTTGAGCCTCCTTTGATGACATCATCGAGTTAACAAGACTGAGTTAACATGATTGAGTCTTCCACTCGCACGCACCAACCTGCAACATTGTACTGG